ACTGAGCTGACATCGAACAGTGTTAATGTGAGAAGGGGTTTTGTGGAGATTGTAGTAATTTCAACAGTTAAGATCATAAGTCAATTGAAACTTGACTATCATCATTATTCATTAAAAGTTTGGATCAAATTTTAAAAATGAAATATGATGTGTAGGTGAGAATGATATTGATTAGTTGTCTGCTTAGTCAGACATGTAGATAATCTGATAAATGTTAGATGAGTTATATATACCCCTATTCACCTCAGTACAATGAAAGATGATCGCGCGATTTCTTGGTTTGTATGAAGTTAGACATTAACACTATTGTATGGTGGTCTAGATGTTAGGCGTTTTCGCGCGAGACTGAAAACCCTAGAATTGAATCCCGCGAGCGGGAGTATGGATGCGCACTACTGAGCGCCACAATAGGATGAAACGCCTTCCAATGCTTCCAGGTTTTTAATGGTGGTCTAACATCAATCGGTTCATGAATTCAATCAATGAATTAATAATCTCCACTACCCTTATACTGATAATTAAGCTGATATAACATATTCTAGATTTTGGATGAACAGGCCATTTAGACATTGTAACTTATTCACTTAAAAACCTTGACTGATTTTATATGAGCGTATGTGTCTGCATTGCTTATCTTATTCATCACATGACTGTAGCTTATTTTTGTGTAACTATAAATATTGATTAACGCTTGGTTAAATGGAGTTGGCTTACACTCCTCCACTGTGTGTCATTTCTCTTTATTCTCTTCTATTTGTATCGTTCCTCTGAATGTCTGTCCAGATGAACGATTGTATGAAATATGCATGTTCGAAATCCTTTCTCGTTTTGGACTTATTTTAATTCCTTTATTCACTAAATTGTTAATTATCCACGAGGAAAGCCAGGATAACATTTTTAGTGGCCGGAGATATGACTCCAGTTGGAACGTATGATTCAATGCTGTAGAAACATACATGTTGTCAATTGTCGTGTATAATTATTGACTTCGCATATGTTAGTGAATATGAGAATAACTGAATAAGTCAATTACGTGAATGGATTTTGAACATATATATTTTGTACACTCACTGATCTGGGCTGCCAGTCAGAGCGACGAAGCGAGATGACGAGTAGTGGTGAATGCACATAGGCCAACTCTATTTAACCAAGTGTTAATCAATATATATAGTCACACAAAAATAAGCTACATACAAACGATGAGTGAGATAAGAAGCGTACTCACACTGACATACACTCACATAAAAACAGTCAAAGTTGTTAAGTAAATAATTAACAATAAATAAGAACTTTCGTCTAAATTTAAACGAATAGTTTCACAATATTTGGGTGCCGAGTTCATTTGAGACATTAAAAAGAAGAATATATTTGTAAAATCTCAGCGAATGAATTTTAAGTAAATCCAACGTTTCGCCTGGCAATCTGGTCCAAGCTTTTTCAAGGAAAATATAATCAAACAACAAAATTATCGAATATAAATAGGTACAAGGTTCTTCGGTTTACTGTATACTGAATAAGTCATCCAATCAACGTGAAGTATTTTCATAAATATGTATTTGTATTAATGTGTAAGAGACATGTTTATATGAAAATTAATAAAGGTCAAACAATAAAAGTCCATTTGAAAATAATCAAGAGGAGAGAAATTGTCGTGTTATCCTAGGCCATAGAATGACTTAAGGATTACAAAGTAAATTCAAAGTTATGACAATTCTGTGTTTATGAAATCAAATGTAATGATTGTAATGCAACGTATGTAGGTGAAACATCAAGGCAACTGAATGTGAGGGTGAAGGAACACAAACTGTGCTTAAAGCACATTCCTAAATCCTCAATTGATGTAAAAAAGCTTGAGAACAGATCAGCGATAGCATTACACTCGATTGAATCGGGTCATACAGTTGATTTCAATGGCACAAAAATCATTCAAAAAGGATTTAATTCTTACAAAGAACGACTAACAGCCGAAGCCCTACATATATGGGCTAATTCAAACAATATTAATAGGAGAGATGGAATTCAACTAGCTGTCCCATGGCAACTAATAATTAATAAGTAAACCTGATCTCCGTTTTGCCATTTGATATATTTATGACAATTGACTGGAACTTTTTAAAATAACACACACCTTCAATTACATATACATTCCTCTTTTATTTTGTTTACTTATCTTATTTATCATCATTTAATGCAGTCTGTGGCATTTTTGATTCATTTCATATATACACACATTCTGTTATCTTAACACATACCTTGTCCTTATGTGAACAAAACAATTTGTCATAACCTTGAATTTACCTTGTAATCCTTAATTCATTCTATGACCTAGGATAACACGACAATTTCTCTCCTCTTGATTATTTTCAAATGGACTTTTATTGTTTGACCTTTATTAATTTTCATATAAACATGTCTCTTACACATTAATACAAATACATATTTATGAAAATACTTCACGTTGATTGGATGACTTATTCAGTATACAGTAAACCGAAGAACCTTGTACCTATTTATATTCGATAATTTTGTTGTTTGATTATATTTTCCTTGAAAAAGCTTGGACCAGATTGCGAGGCGAAACGTTGGATTTACTTAAAATTCATTCGCTGAGATTTTACAAATATATTCTTCTTTTTAATGTCTCAAATAATTAACAAGTTGAAAACGTGACTCAAGGAGAGCCGTTGAATCGGCCTGTCCAGAGGTTAAAATAAGCTATGTGGGCTTGACATAAGACCAGCCAGTACACACTCATATGATTCAACAGGTGTTAGAACCTGGACCACTATAGTTAGTTGCTTAGTCATGAGAATGGATTAGATATGGAAATGTGTACTGTTGACACTTTCTAGGTTTCATTCCCAACTATTATATAACATTATTTCAATCCTGTGACTAAATAGAACTATATAAGAAGTACTCTGAAGGTGTACATACTTTAAAAGAGATTGATCAGTTTGATGCTTAACATAAATGCCAACGAGAGAACATAAATACTTACAAATATTATGCGTTAGATATTTTATCTTTATTGTTCTAACGAACAATTAAAGCATGACCAACCAGCTGAAAAACCACAAAACATAAGTCTCAGACCCTAATCGTAATGTAATATTCACTAGTATATAACAGTATTTAACCAAATCATTGAATGAATTTCATGTCAAAATTCAACATTTTCTATTTTAAATCCAAATGGATCATCTATAAATTATAATCTCATCAGTTTTTGTTTTATTAAATATTCTAGATGAAGTTTTCTTCAGTAAACTAAATCATTTGCATATGAAGATTTCGTCACCTCTCTGAACGTTATCATCAGTTATGAAATGTTAACATTTCTCCACATATAACTCATAGCTTAGATCTTGATGTTGATTAGTTTCTAATTGATTCTATCTCTCATTGACGAGACTCTATGGACGACATTTGAACGAATCTTAAATGTTCTTCACTAATGTATATATTACAAAAAAACCCAGAGAATTAAAGTGGTTCGGTTTGAAAAAGATTCAGAGGTACTGAAATAATAGTACATACGAAAGAGGGACTGATCCATTATGGCTCTATAATAGTCGACCTCTCGAGTCATGATAGGGTCGTCAGAACCTTTTTAGCTTCGACCACATAACTCCAATATTGTCAGTGTGTACTCCAGTTGTAGGGTCCACAAAATAACGCTTACAAATAACGACATTATGCACATATCCAAGTTTTTGAAGGTAACCGTATTCATTAGGTACTGAGGATAGCGTCATCACCATGAAATCTTTCAAACGCTTCTGATTGACTCGTCCATAAATTAGAGTCTCATTCTGTCATTTAGTTTGGATATTTATTGTTCAATAATATGTACTTAAGATTATGTTATTTTCATTCTTTTCTCCTCATTTTTTTCTTTTCTTTTTTTTAATCAATAGTTCTCAACTGACGAAGTGCATTATAAATATTACGAAATGTGTATGAATGATAGAGATATTATAATAAAACAATATAAAAATAATAAAGAAACATCATGTAATCAAACAATGATTGAACATAGTGATAATACAGAACCAATTCTAAATAGAAATGAAAATGTAAAAAAATAGCAAAAGAATTAAAACATCAAGAAGTTCCAAAAGTCGATGGCATTCGAATCAACGAAAAAATTGAAAGAAATAATAAATTAACTGTTTGTTTTTTTCTCTTGTTTTTTTACCCCCCCTCCTCTCGTAGTCGTCGTCGTCGTTAATAAATTGTTATATCAATGATTGAAATCATGCTTCAATTGAAACTGAACTACCATGCAAGCACTGGACGGCCGTTTTGCCCTAGTAAGGGACACCCCAGTTCCAGTGCGCATGCACGATCTCTCACCCCGCGAGGTTCGAACCCGTGACCTATCAGTTAGATGCAAGGTACTTAACCAACTAGACCATAGTGGTATGACTTAAATTGACTCATGATTTAAATCAGTGAAATGTCTAAAAATCTGCACAAATCCCCTTCTGATATATTGTTATATGTTTAGAAAATAGTATGTATATAATTGTTTAGAGTTTATAATAGAGTAAAACCTAATAGTTTGACTGGTTAGTACCGATAAGATTTCTCGCCTCGCAAGATTTGAACCCAAGACATATCAATCTCTGGATTGTGGATACACAGTGTTAAGGAGTCCCATAATATAACAAAATGGCTATCCAATGCTTTAATAATTTTCATGGAGGTTTAACTTCAATTGATTCATAAATAAAACTATTGAAACTTCTATAATATCCACAAGGAATCCTTCTTATATATATTTCTGATTGATATGATCTTATTCCATCACTTAGTGTGAATGTCATTGTTCTACATATGGTCTGTCGTGTAATGAATACTACATCTATAACAGTCAGTGATGTCGGATAGGAACTTTTAAGAATATCATTCTTGTCAAAATGTCAGAAAATCGTTGGTAGATAAGCAGGTGATTGAGCAAAGATGCAAATGATGATTGAATAGATGAAGTAAGGATGGACGAATGTAACAATTCATTCGAGTTGAACAAGTCGATCGTGATTCTATTGACAAGTACTACTACTACTACTACTACTACTACTACTACTACTACTACTACTACTACTACTACTACTACTACTACTACTACTACTACTACTACTACTACTACTACTACTACTACTACTACTACTACTACTACTACTACTACTACTACTACTACTACTACTACTACTACTACTACTACTACTACTACTACTACTACTACTACTACTACTACTACTACTACTACTACTACTACTACTACTACTACTACTACTACTACTACTACTACTACTACTACTACTACTACTACTACTACTACTACTACTACTACTACTACTACTACTACTACTACTACTACTACTACTACTACTACTACTACTACTACTACTACTACTACTACTACTACTACTACTACTACTACTACTACTACTACTACTACTACTACTACTACTACTACTACTACTACTACTACTACTACTACTACTACTACTACTACTACTACTACTACTACTACTACTACTACTACTACTACTACTACTACTACTACTACTACTACTACTACTACTACTACTACTACTACTACTACTACTACTACTACTACTACTACTACTACTACTACTACTACTACTACTACTACTACTACTACTACTACTACTACTACTACTACTACTACTACTACTACTACTACTACTACTACTACTACTACTACTACTACTACTACTACTACTACTACTACTACTACTACTACTACTACTACTACTACTACTACTACTACTACTACTACTACTACTACTACTACTACTACTACTACTACTACTACTACTACTACTACTACTACTACTACTACTACTACTACTACTACTACTACTACTACTACTACTACTACTACTACTACTACTACTACTACTACTACTACTACTACTACTACTACTACTACTACTACTACTACTACTACTACTACTACTACTACTACTACTACTACTACTACTACTACTACTACTACTACTACTACTACTACTACTACTACTACTACTACTACTACTACTACTACTACTACTACTACTACTACTACTACTACTACTACTACTACTACTACTACTACTACTACTACTACTACTACTACTACTACTACTACTACTACTACTACTACTACTACTACTACTACTACTACTACTACTACTACTACTACTACTACTACTACTACTACTACTACTACTACTACTACTACTACTACTACTACTACTACTACTACTACTACTACTACTACTACTACTACTACTACTACTACTACTACTACTACTACTACTACTACTACTACTACTACTACTACTACTACTACTACTACTACTACTACTACTACTACTACTACTACTACTACTACTACTACTACTACTACTACTACTACTACTACTACTACTACTACTACTACTACTACTACTACTACTACTACTACTACTACTACTACTACTACTACTACTACTACTACTACTACTACTACTACTACTACTACTACTACTACTACTACTACTACTACTACTACTACTACTACTACTACTACTACTACTACTACTACTACTACTACTACTACTACTACTACTACTACTACTACTACTACTACTACTACTACTACTACTACTACTACTACTACTACTACTACTACTACTACTACTACTACTACTACTACTACTACTACTACTACTACTACTACTACTACTACTACTACTACTACTACTACTACTACTACTACTACTACTACTACTACTACTACTACTACTACTACTACTACTACTACTACTACTACTACTACTACTACTACTACTACTACTACTACTACTACTACTACTACTACTACTACTACTACTACTACTACTACTACTACTACTACTACTACTACTACTACTACTACTACTACTACTACTACTACTACTACTACTACTACTACTACTACTACTACTACTACTACTACTACTACTACTACTACTACTACTACTACTACTACTACTACTACTACTACTACTACTACTACTACTACTACTACTACTACTACTACTACTACTACTACTACTACTACTACTACTACTACTACTACTACTACTACTACTACTACTACTACTACTACTACTACTACTACTACTACTACTACTACTACTACTACTACTACTACTACTACTACTACTACTACTACTACTACTACTACTACTACTACTACTACTACTACTACTACTACTACTACTACTACTACTACTACTACTACTACTACTACTACTACTACTACTACTACTACTACTACTACTACTACTACTACTACTACTACTACTACTACTACTACTACTACTACTACTACTACTACTACTACTACTACTACTACTACTACTACTACTACTACTACTACTACTACTACTACTACTACTACTACTACTACTACTACTACTACTACTACTACTACTACTACTACTACTACTACTACTACTACTACTACTACTACTACTACTACTACTACTACTACTACTACTACTACTACTACTACTACTACTACTACTACTACTACTACTACTACTACTACTACTACTACTACTACTACTACTACTACTACTACTACTACTACTACTACTACTACTACTACTACTACTACTACTACTACTACTACTACTACTACTACTACTACTACTACTACTACTACTACTACTACTACTACTACTACTACTACTACTACTACTACTACTACTACTACTACTACTACTACTACTACTACTACTACTACTACTACTACTACTACTACTACTACTACTACTACTACTACTACTACTACTACTACTACTACTACTACTACTACTACTACTACTACTACTACTACTACTACTACTACTACTACTACTACTACTACTACTACTACTACTACTACTACTACTACTACTACTACTACTACTACTACTACTACTACTACTACTACTACTACTACTACTACTACTACTACTACTACTACTACTACTACTACTACTACTACTACTACTACTACTACTACTACTACTACTACTACTACTACTACTACTACTACTACTACTACTACTACTACTACTACTACTACTACTACTACTACTACTACTACTACTACTACTACTACTACTACTACTACTACTACTACTACTACTACTACTACTACTACTACTACTACTACTACTACTACTACTACTACTACTACTACTACTACTACTACTACTACTACTACTACTACTACTACTACTACTACTACTACTACTACTACTACTACTACTACTACTACTACTACTACTACTACTACTACTACTACTACTACTACTACTACTACTACTACTACTACTACTACTACTACTACTACTACTACTACTACTACTACTACTACTACTACTACTACTACTACTACTACTACTACTACTACTACTACTACTACTACTACTACTACTACTACTACTACTACTACTACTACTACTACTACTACTACTACTACTACTACTACTACTACTACTACTACTACTACTACTACTACTACTACTACTACTACTACTACTACTACTACTACTACTACTACTACTACTACTACTACTACTACTACTACTACTACTACTACTACTACTACTACTACTACTACTACTACTACTACTACTACTACTACTACTACTACTACTACTACTACTACTACTACTACTACTACTACTACTACTACTACTACTACTACTACTACTACTACTACTACTACTACTACTACTACTACTACTACTACTACTACTACTACTACTACTACTACTACTACTACTACTACTACTACTACTACTACTACTACTACTACTACTACTACTACTACTACTACTACTACTACTACTACTACTACTACTACTACTACTACTACTACTACTACTACTACTACTACTACTACTACTACTACTACTACTACTACTACTACTACTACTACTACTACTACTACTACTACTACTACTACTACTACTACTACTACTACTACTACTACTACTACTACTACTACTACTACTACTACTACTACTACTACTACTACTACTACTACTACTACTACTACTACTACTACTACTACTACTACTACTACTACTACTACTACTACTACTACTACTACTACTACTACTACTACTACTACTACTACTACTACTACTACTACTACTACTACTACTACTACTACTACTACTACTACTACTACTACTACTACTACTACTACTACTACTACTACTACTACTACTACTACTACTACTACTACTACTACTACTACTACTACTACTACTACTACTACTACTACTACTACTACTACTACTACTACTACTACTACTACTACTACTACTACTACTACTACTACTACTACTACTACTACTACTACTACTACTACTACTACTACTACTACTACTACTACTACTACTACTACTACTACTACTACTACTACTACTACTACTACTACTACTACTACTACTACTACTACTACTACTACTACTACTACTACTACTACTACTACTACTACTACTACTACTACTACTACTACTACTACTACTACTACTACTACTACTACTACTACTACTACTACTACTACTACTACTACTACTACTACTACTACTACTACTACTACTACTACTACTACTACTACTACTACTACTACTACTACTACTACTACTACTACTACTACTACTACTACTACTACTACTACTACTACTACTACTACTACTACTACTACTACTACTACTACTACTACTACTACTACTACTACTACTACTACTACTACTACTACTACTACTACTACTACTACTACTACTACTACTACTACTACTACTACTACTACTACTACTACTACTACTACTACTACTACTACTACTACTACTACTACTACTACTACTACTACTACTACTACTACTACTACTACTACTACTACTACTACTACTACTACTACTACTACTACTACTACTACTACTACTACTACTACTACTACTACTACTACTACTACTACTACTACTACTACTACTACTACTACTACTACTACTACTACTACTACTACTACTACTACTACTACTACTACTACTACTACTACTACTACTACTACTACTACTACTACTACTACTACTACTACTACTACTACTACTACTACTACTACTACTACTACTACTACTACTACTACTACTACTACTACTACTACTACTACTACTACTACTACTACTACTACTACTACTACTACTACTACTACTACTACTACTACTACTACTACTACTACTACTACTACTACTACTACTACTACTACTACTACTACTACTACTACTACTACTACTACTACTACTACTACTACTACTACTACTACTACTACTACTACTACTACTACTACTACTACTACTACTACTACTACTACTACTACTACTACTACTACTACTACTACTACTACTACTACTACTACTACTACTACTACTACTACTACTACTACTACTACTACTACTACTACTACTACTACTACTACTACTACTACTACTACTACTACTACTACTACTACTACTACTACTACTACTACTACTACTACTACTACTACTACTACTACTACTACTACTACTACTACTACTACTACTACTACTACTACTACTACTACTACTACTACTACTACTACTACTACTACTACTACTACTACTACTACTACTACTACTACTACTACTACTACTACTACTACTACTACTACTACTACTACTACTACTACTACTACTACTACTACTACTACTACTACTACTACTACTACTACTACTACTACTACTACTACTACTACTACTACTACTACTACTACTACTACTACTACTACTACTACTACTACTACTACTACTACTACTACTACTACTACTACTACTACTACTACTACTACTACTACTACTACTACTACTACTACTACTACTACTACTACTACTACTACTACTACTACTACTACTACTACTACTACTACTACTACTACTACTACTACTACTACTACTACTACTACTACTACTACTACTACTACTACTACTACTACTACTACTACTACTACTACTACTACTACTACTACTACTACTACTACTAACACCATCACCACCACCACTGAGATTAAAACAACTGGTGTAGCAGAAGTCTTTGCATCAGCAGGCCTCAACATACTTATTTATTTACTTGCGCCTCTTGATCCTCGTAGAGGAGCATAGGCCGCCAATCAAAATTTTCCATCCAACTCTGTCCTGGGTTGATCTCAACATATACAAGGGAAAGACTAAGGTCCTCAAATACATTACGCAGAACACAAACCCAATCACATTTGAAGGATAAGCTCAGGGGGATGTGAAATATTCCACGTATCTGGGAAGCATCATCGGCAATAATCAAGGAGGATTTGTTGCAGACGTGATGGCGAGGACTGGTAAAGCAAGGACAGCATTCCTACAGTTAAAGAACATATAGAACTAAAAACAACTGTCAGTCAATATCAAAGTCACATTCTTCAATACAAACGTCAAGACAGTTCTACTATACAAAGCTGAAATGTGGAGAACTATTACAACATATTCTACATTGTTGTCTACGTAAGAAAGTAAATGTCCGTTGGTTGAATAGCATCAACGACAACCTACTGTGTGAGAGAATAGACCAACCTCCGGTCGAGGTGGAAATTAGCAAAAGATGTTGAATGTGTATAGGACGCACATTGAGGAAATTGTCAAACTGCGTCGCGAGGCAAGCCCGAATTTGGAGTTCTGAAGGGAAACAAAAAGAGGAAGACCAAAGAAAATACTTAGTCGGGAGTTTGAAGCAGATATGAAAAGGATAAACACGAAGTGGAAAGGATTCTCAAGGACAGAGTTGAATGGAAAGTGCTGATGGTTGGCCTATACACTACGACTAGTGGTAACAGGCAGAAGTAAAATTACTATTCTTTCAAATAGTTTTTTTAGTCGAAGTAGATAACATTGTGGAGTCTGAAAGAAATACGTAGAAACGGCTGTGTAGTCTTTCCAGATTTCAAGTGACTTTCTAGAAAAAATGATAGGAACTTAGTTTATATCCATAGTGTAGTGAACAAGAACACACGTGGGGACAATCAAGTGTCACATATTTTTTATGTAGATATAAGTAACTCACATCACAATAGGAATTATATCTTATTTTTTAAGATTTAATTCAGAAAATTGAATTCATTTTCAAAAAAGACTTTTTTCAAAAAAAATATATCAGAAACAGTTTCAAATCCTCCGCCAATAGTGTTAACAAAACAAAAATCAAACGTGCTTAGTTCACGTAAGTATCGAATAGATTTATTGTTCTTTCTGAGTATTTTATTTGAACTGAAACACCATATTTTTTGTTATTTATTTATTTAAACACATAAACATTCATAAAAGAAAGCACCAAATAGATATGCGCTAACTAAATCATTCAATTTATATGAGTGCTGGGATATTGTCCAGGTGGTTAAACCGAAAAATGCACTTTTCCTAGGGGTCACAACCAGAGACTTCAACCCGAAAGCCTGATCCATAAGGCAGTGGAGCAACCCAAGGAAATACATTCTCATGGTAGCTGGTAGTCAACAATTGGTTCATACACCATTTGTTTCCAACTCCCTTACGTGGATCCACCATATCCATCAACCTGATAAGAGCGCCGAACATTCACTTTTTGTTCTCTCAATTTCGTAAACAACACACCTTACCACGAGAATGCAGTGAGTAGGACTTCCTTGACGGTGGTTATATGCACGTGCCAATATGATAGCATTTGGAGTGGGATAGCTTAATCTCTCCACTCTCGACCGTGCCAGAGCATTTGGGGGCCACTGTTTCATACATTCTTGCATATTAATCATAACAATATGATAAATATCTTTTCATGAATTTCGACTTCAAGTCAAAATTGATAATGATAACAATAGACTATAGGAGTAAATTTTAAACCTGATTGTAACTAGAATAGTATGACATTTATATGTGTGTTTAGTTTATTCCTAAATACGCTAATTAATAATATAATAGTTTTAACTCGTCATAAAGGTTGATCGCTATCTGTTCAGTGAATAATACGTTAGTATTTGACGTGTAAATTATTGGACTTGAGGTTAATTGTAAACATCAACCTTGTCGAGTTATAGCAGGTAAATACAACTGATAATCTCCAATTAGGATTAAATGCTCAATCGGGTATCTAATACTATTCACAAATTGTACACTTTAAAACAATCGTTTAGTTGAAATTAGACTACCTCATTTCTTATTTAACGGAAATGTTTAAAGTGATGAACATACCTATACATTTTATCTCTATGATAACTGTAACATTGAGTCTCTCGGCACTTTTGTAACTAGATAAGCAACTATTAAATTTATAGGGGATTTTCGTTTTTTTATGTGCTTATCGACTCTGTTGAATTCACAGTCTTATCAATTGGTTGGATATCTTGTTTAAATGCATTACAACAAGGTCATTAACAATGTGAGGCGGGAAATCAATTAATTGAAAACTTTATTCTTACTAATTCGAAAACTACTACTGATGATTATGATAATAGTAGTAGTATACAAAGTAAATTATATAAAGATATGAATTCTTATTTAAGTATTAAAGAATATTCTGGTAACTATGGTGATATACCATCACCTTGTACAATGTATCATACAGGACCTGAATTACATCATATGAATCAATTGCATAATTCATTACATAAAGATTGGATTTATTCATTATTTCGTGATTGTATTTATGTATCAAAATGTTTGAAAAATGAAATCATAATAATCAATGAAGAAGAAATTCAATATTAATTTGGTTTAAATACGACTATACCGGATAGTTATATCCTATTGATCAATAATGATAATGGTATGTTTACAAATATGTACAGTAAGTAACTATTTATCAGTAGTATATACTTATCGATGAGCCGATCAGAAGTGTCTGAGGGATTTTAAGGTTACGGTGTCCATTTTAATACCTGATGCTAACGTACAATCGATTTATACAAAACGTGATAATTGAAGGGTTATAACAAATGAAACGACGAGACGAACCAATCGCGTATAACATAAGATGTTTCGGATTTTGGCGCTAAAGTCATTTATCCGTTTGGCTATATATATATATATATATATATATATATATATATATATATATATATATATATATAGTTCCTAACCGAGGCAAATTACGACAATAAAAGCATCAGTAATACTAGTTGCAGCCAGGTACTACAATATATACGGATGTTTGGAAAGCGTACAGACTCTTACATAGGCTTGTTTATGTGAATCGTGTCGTTATCCACAAGTAGCTTTTTGTGCACTCAATAATCGGAGCGCACATAAACAATATCGAAACTATGCAGTCGAGGTGGAAATAGATTTTGAGACTTTATCATGGTTACAGAGGCCGATTATCTTGAAACTATATGGATGATCTCCTCTACTGCATGCATTACGATCTTAGAACCTTTGAACCTCTTTGTAACCTTGAACAGTTTCGAAACACATATAAGAAGCGTATACACCTTATTTCTTTGGTTTTGTATAATATATTTTTACTCTATACTGACTGTTTCTTGATTAGCTAATATTTATCAAGTTCACTTGGGATTCGTTCGAAGATCGTCCAAAAATTATAATCTCGCCTCGTTATCTTATTTAATTAATTTTATTGTTTAATTAAATATCGGATCTATTTAAGTAGTTTGTACAACACAAGAATGTTTATATTGAATATTTTCTTATTGATATGGTTTAGTTGAGAGTTTAATGCAATTAAAAGGGTAAAGAAAAAATTGTTCTATTAAACCGTCCTATAGATAATCTATATCAAATGAATTATGGAGTCACCTAGCGTTATCTAATTTTCAGTGATTCTGATACATCTTTTATTCGAGCGATTTCGCACAAATTTCCTTATTATTCCCTGCTCTCTAAAAGTCTTATACTGTTGAACGACGAACGGATAGTAAATGTGAAAGAAGTTTAACTTTGGAGCTTAGTTTATGTACAGAGTTGGGGAAATGTGAGTACTGGAGAAGCTTTCACGCTGTGAGGCATCGGATGATGTGGTGATGATGTGGTGAACACAGTACAAGGATAATAATGTAATTAGATGTGAGATTTTGGAAAACATGCTGAAATTGGTAGTTGTCCACTCAGGATAATGAAAAAATGGCGTGTTTCTCTGAATTCTCTCAGATTTTTCTAAAAAACTCTGACTATTTGAATTAATTTCAGTATTTATCTTAGTTCTTAGACTTTTCAAGGAAATTGTATATATACACATGAGTTGCGTTCTTCCGGGCTCCTTGTGGAATATATATTTTCCCGACTGGATCTTGCCTTCTCCCTTTAGTTAACAAGGCTGGGGTACAGTTAAATAACTTAGCTTGACCTGTTGTTTTCTTGCTGTTTTTGTTCCGTTTGCTGATACTAGGTGATATCTTAGGCTTAGAACACCCGTTGCTAGGTGTTTAGCTCGGTCACATGACTTCTGGCTTGCTCCACCCTGATGCTAGCTGCCCAGCCATCGACCGGCATAAACATGTGGGTGTGCGCGTCTCGTTTCTCGACTCGAAACCTCAAGGTCACAGGTTAAGAACACCCGTTGCTAGGTGTTTAGCTCGGTCACATGACTTCTGGCTTGCTCCACCCTGATGCTAGCTGCCCAGCCATCGACCGGCATAAACATGTGGGTGTGCGCGTCTCGTTTCTCGACTCGAAACCTCAAGGTCACAGGCTTAGAACACCCGTTGCTAGGTGTTTAGCTCGGTCACATGACTTCTGGCTTGCTCCACCCTGATGCAAGCTGCCCAGCCATCGACCGGCATAAACATGTGGGTGTGCGCGTCTCGTTTCTCGACTCGAAACCTCAAGGTCACAGGCTTAGAACACCCGTTGATAGGTGTTTAGCTCGGTCACATGACTTCTGGCTTGCTCCACCCTGATGCTAGCTGCCCAGCCATCGACCGGCATAAACATGTGGGTGTGCGCGTCTCGTTTCTCGACTCGAAACCTCAAGGTCACAGGCTTAGAACACCCGTTGCTAGGTGTTTAGCTCGGTCACATGACTTCTGGCTTGCTCCACCCTGATGCTAGCTGCCCAGCCATCGACCGGCATAAACATGTGGGTGTGCGCGTCTCGTTTCTCGACTCGAAACCTCAAGGTCACAGGCTTAGAACACCCGTTGCTAGGTGTTTAGCTCGATCACATGACTTCTGGCTTGCTCCACCCTGATGCTAGCTGCCCAGCCATCGACCGGCATAAACATGTGGGTGTGCGCGTCTCGTTTCTCGACTCGAAACCTCAAGGTCACAGGCTTAGAACACCCGTTGCTAGGTGTTTTTATGTCGGTCACATGACTTCTGGCTTGCTCCACCCTGATGCTAGCTGCCCAGCCATCGACCGGCATAAACATGTGGGTGTGCGCGTCTCGTTTCTCGACTCGAAACCTCAAGGTCACAGGCTTAGAACACCCGTTGCTAGGTGTTTAGCTCGGTCACATGACTTCTGGCTTGCTCCACCCTGATGCAAGCTGCCCAGCCATCGACCGGCATAAACATGTGGGTGTGCGCGTCTCGTTTCTCGACTCGAAACCTCAAGGTCACAGGCTTAGAACACCCGTTGCTAGGTGTTTAGCTCGGTCACATGACTTCTGGCTTGCTCCACCCCGATGCTAACTGCCCAGCCATCGACCGGCATAAACATGTGGGTGTGCGCGTCTCGTTTCTCGACTCGAAACCTCAAGGTCACAGGCTTAGAACACCCGTTGCTAGGTGTTTAGCTCGGTCACATGACTTCTGGCTTGCTCCACCCTGATGCTAGCTGCCCAGCCATCGACCGGCATAAACATGTGGGTGTGCGCGTCTCGTTTCTCGACTCGAAACCTCAAGGTCACAGGCTTAGAACACCCGTTGATAGGTGTTTAGCTCGGTCACATGACTTCTGGCTTGCTCCACCCTGATGCTAGCTGCCCAGCCATCGACCGGCATAAACATGTGGGTGTGCGCGTCTCGTTTCTCGACTCGAAACCTCAAGGTCACAGGCTTAGAACACCCGTTGCTAGGTGTTTAGCTCGGTCACATGACTTCTGGCTTGCTCCACCCTGATGCTAGCTGCCCAGCCATCGACCGGCATAAACGTCTGGGTGTGCGCGTCTCGTTTCTCGACTCGAAACCTCAAGGTCACAGGCTTAGAACACCCGTTGCTAGGTGTTTAGCTCAGTCACATGACTTCTGGTTTGCCCCACCCTGATGCTGGCTGCCCAGCCATCGACCGGCAGAGGGTGGAGCTGGGTGTGCACGTCTTGTTTGTGGACTCGGCACCTCAAGGTCACGTGGTTAGGAGCCCCGTTGCTAGGCATTTAGCTTGGTCACGTGATTTTCAGTTTGCCCCACCCTGATGCTGGCTGCCCAGCCATCGACCGGCATAAACATGTGGGTGTGCGCGTCTCGTTTCTCGACTCGAAACCTCAAGGTCACAGGCTTAGAACACCCGTTGCTAGGTGTTTAGCTCGGTCACATGACTTCTGGCTTGCTCCACCCTGATGCAAGCTGCCCAGCCATCGACCGGCATAAACATGTGGGTGTGCGCGTCTCGTTTCTCGACTCGAAACCTCAAGGTCACAGGCTTAGAACACCCGTTGCTAGGTGTTTAGCTCGGTCACATGACTTCTGGCTTGCTCCACCCTGATGCTAGCTGCCCAGCCATCGACCGGCATAAACATGTGGGTGTGCGCGTCTCGTTTCTCGACTCGAAACCTCAAGGTCACAGGCTTAGAACACCCGTTGCTAGGTGTTTAGCTCGGTCACATGACTTCTGGCTTGCTCCACCCTGATGCTAGCTGCCCAGCCATCGACCGGCATAAACATGTGGGTGTGCGCGTCTCGTTTCTCGACTCGAAACCTCAAGGTCACAGGCTTAGAACACCCGTTGCTAGGTGTTTAGCTCGATCACATGACTTCTGGCTTGCTCCACCCTGATGCTAGCTGCCCAGCCATCGACCGGCATAAACATGTGGGTGTGCGCGTCTCGTTTCTCGACTCGAAACCTCAAGGTCACAGGCTTGGAACACCCGTTGCTAGGTGTTTAGCTCGGTCACATGACTTCTGGCTTGCTCCACCCTGATGCTAGCTGCCCAGCCATCGACCGGCATAAACATGTGGGTGTGCGCGTCTCGTTTCTCGACTCGAAACCTCAAGGTCACAGGCTTAGAACACCCGTTGCTAGGTGTTTAGCTCGGTCACAAGACTTCTGGCTTGCTCCACCCTGATGCTATCTGCCCAGCCATCGACCGGCATAAACATGTGGGTGTGCGCGTCTCGTTTCTCGACTCGAAACCTCAAGGTCACAGGCTTAGAACACCCGTTGCTAGGTGTTTAGCTCGGTCACATGACTTCTGGCTTGCTCCACCCTGATGCTAGCTTTCCAGCCATCGACCGGCATAAACATGTGGGTGTGCGCGTCTCGTTTCTCGACTCGAAACCTCAAGGTCACAGGCTTAGAACACCCGTTGCTAGGAGTTTAGCTCGGTCACATGACTTCTGGCTTGCTCCACCCTGATGCAAGCTGCCCAGCCATCGACCGGCATAAACATGTGGGTGTGCGCGTCTCGTTTCTCGACTCGAAACCTCTAGGTCACAGGCTTAGAACACCCGTTGCTAGGTGTTTAGCTCGGTCACATGACTTCTGGCTTGCTCCACCCTGATGCAAGCTGCCCAGCCATCGACCGGCATAAACATGTGGGTGTGCGCGTCTCGTTTCTCGACTCGAAACCTCAAGGTCACAGGCTTAGAACACC